GCGACTGCTCTGGACACCCTGAACTTTGCCCTGAGGACCGAGCGAAACCAGCAGTCGGACACTAGAGTGTCTCCCAGGGCCCCGCGGAACTCCAGGCACGGACTGCGCCCTCGCATCATCACAGAGCGCATTTCGTCTGATCGATCTCGCTCTCCTACTCGAGAACCCGGCCTCTGGATACTTCTTCCACCTGGTGTATACCGGCCTTATCCCCGCCTCGTGCGGCGCATCGGGATGCCGCTGACAGCACTTCTGGTCGTCGTCCTGAGTCGATGTTGGATCGTCTGCCACCACCACGGCCTCTTGATCACCCAGCCCCACACAGCGGACGCGAACCAGGACAGACAACGCCTACGACACCTGACTCGGATTCTGATGGTTCAGTTCGTCCACATCCAGGTGCCTCATCGTTCCGCCCTTCTCCTACGGTGGTTCATGGACCTTGGGAACTTCTACAAGAATTCACCATTGCCCTTCGCAATACACACCGTGAACCTTTCACGGCATGGACACAGGGTGAGCTGGATGAGATGGTTCGACGGAAGAAAGACAAGGATTCCAGGCCCACCTACAAAACCATTGCCCGGTTCCTTCAGAAGCCCATTGAGGAAGTCAAGCAGGCCTGGAAGGTCTATCAGCAACTTGAGGCTCGCGGCTAGGAAGCCGTGCATCAAATGAACCAGTGACCACTGGAGGACTAACTCGTAGGGCGTGGCGGTGCATTCGGTGAGCGTTGCAGGTTGTTGTGATGGTTGGGATTGCAGTCATGGCTGATCGCATGAATTTTGCTTGCTTGCACTTGCCTGACATTTTGACCAGTGAAAATATTGTTTGCTGTCGTGGGTGTTGCTGCTGACTTGGATTGCATGCATGGCTGAGCTGCTCAAATCATGTCGGAACAAGACGTGCAGACATACATTACTTGGACCCATGGAGCGCAGCCGACGTGGTTACAGTTTCACGGACCTGGTACCTTGCTTGACAGACCAATTCGGCAGACTACGTCACCTCCAACCCCACCATATTTTGCAATACTTCTTCCACGCCTCCTCCACCGCCACCACCACCGGTGATTCTACACCCACAGTTTATGCCCTCAGTGCGTGCCTCCTCGAACCCAGCTCCTCGAGGACAATCCTGCCCTGCCACATCGAAATCGCAGCGCGCACGCCGCTCGATTTACAGCACTGACCATTCCCGTGATGATGATCTGCGCAGTCCAGGGCGTTCATCGAAACGCTCTCGAACTGCATCCGCTTCTGCACCGCGGAGATCTCACCCGTCCATCGCTGTCCCCATCGGCAAGTTGCAAGCATTACTGTCATGCCTTCCTACGCCATGGTCGGAAATGTCTTTCTCCATGTGCTCGTAAACGACCAGGACATTATCATTGCAGGTGTGTGCGGCATCAGCGACGGTGAAGCATAGGTGTCGTATATTACAAACCTTGCGGCTGTGTCTCACCTTCAGTTTGAAAAGTTGCCTTGCATCGCCTCGGTTAACACTCTAATTGTGTGTGGTTGTCGTTGCATGAGTGTCTTCGCCGCAGATTTTCGATCGCTTTCAGCCACGACCTGTCTTGCCGCTATGAACCCTCACTATTTCGAGTACCAGATCGAGAGAGGAGTGGAATGGATTCGAATTTACACACCGGGCACGTGGCGGCCCGATCCCAATGATGCTATAGTGCGCGCCCCAATCTACGCTTCCACGTATCGGGAGTGGCGCAGGTCATATCGCTTCCAAGTGTACTGGTCCGAAGACAGCACCGGAGGAACAACAGCGGACCCCATTGTCACGCCCAGTTCGTATGTGTCCTACCATGTGTGGGAGTACCGAGACTGGGAAACACGAGGGTATCAACGACTTGGAGCTCCTGTACCAGCCATTGGATCCGCGGCGCTCGTGAATGCAGACGTTAATTCCTCGGCGGACTCATCTGTTCCGGATGGGGCGTGGCGGGAACCTTCACCACCACCATTCTATGATCCTTGGAACGATTCGGAGTGATACTTGCGCAACATGTCGGATAAAATGATGCGGTTGTGCGATTTCATGTTGGGGTGTCTTGCTTTGTGTTGTGCGTTCCGTCTCCATGTGTTCGCCGCTTTCCTTTTTGACCTCGAGCGGCTTGCCTGTTTGATATGTTCAATTCTACAACATATGGCGCTGCACGATGGCCCCTGCCACACTACTTTGAGTACGACATCGTCAATGGCCCCGCGAACACAAGCGTTGAGTGGATTCGGATCTATGTACCGGGTCCGTGGCATCCTGTCGCCGAAAACACCTTGGGACCTGCCCCGGAAGACTCAACCACCTATCGGGAATGGCGCAAAGTCTACCACTTCGAAGTGTATTGGCCGAGGGACAGCACGGGCGGCACCAATATGGGTTCTGTTTCTCAGCCGGTCTCTTATGCGTCCTTCTATACTTGGCATTATCGAGACTGGGTCACCAGAGGATATCAACGGCTAGGTCATCCACACCCTAGCATTGCGCGTCCAGTTTTCGCTTCGGGCTCACCGGACCTCATGTACGCTGGACTGACCTCTTCGTCGGCATCTTCGAACTCAGATGGTGGCTGATGCTCGTCCTCGTCTTCCTGGGGATCCTATTCAATTCAATTCGGTTGAGGAGATTGACTTCGACACCTGAGCTGTGCATTGCTGCAAAAGTGATTGCTTGCATGGTTGTTGTTGTGTCTCTTGCAGTAATTGTTGTCTGCAGCCGTACACCTATCAATCGGTCTTCCCGGGTTTGAGTTGTCATGCCGTGGCTGGAGTGGTGTCCGGATCCTCAACAACCAAATGCCCAGTGGGTCAAGATCTTTCATCCGGGATCATGGACTCCACAGGAAGAACATGATGCTCCACCTCCACCTCACACATACAGAGAGTGGAAGGAGTTCTATGTCCCAAAGCCTGACCAAGACGGTGCGCAGACCAATGACAGCATTTGGTACAAAAGAGACTGGGCCACAGAGGGCTATCGGAGAGTTGCTGCCCCTCCAGCTGGTCATGACTTTGATTCGATGTCTTTTCCTGATCATCATAACGTGGCCACGCAATCCTCGGCATTGAGTATGTCACCGCAGATGTTGGAAGCGATTCTTAGATCCTCGGATGCGGCGGCTTTCTCCACTGAAGATCTGACTCGTCTTCAAGAAGGGATCTCTCAACAACTGTCGGATCGCGCACGTCACGCTTCCCAACAACACCAACCTGTACGTGCATCTCGTGGAATTGCACCACCGGAGTCTATTGGGGTCTCTGACCCATACCGGCCTACGAATCCATCAGGCAGCACCACCGCGAAGGTGAAGCCTATCTTCGAGCTAAATGATGACTAGACCGACGCGTGTTGGGCATAGTACAAAAAGGGTGGTTTTCTTACTTGTACTGCCTTGCTTGGTTGATGCTTGTGCATGGTTGTGCATGGTGCCTGTTTCTTTACTAGCTGGGTCTGAACCCGCGATACGCCCTGCCTCTTACTTCGACATGGACATCGAGGATGCGAAGCAGCACCCATGGCTCGAATACTCGGTCTGGCAGGATCAGGAGTGGGTGCGGATCTATACTCCAGGACAGCCTCAGCTATGGCAACCCGGAGAAACTGTACCTGATCTACCACTCTTTTCGGGAGTGGCAGCGGGTAACTGATCCCAGTGGTCGGACTGGTGAACACGGTCAGGCATGGACCATTCGCGACTGGCAGCATCAAGGATACCAACGCATTCTGTCTCGAAGGGAGTCCTTCACTACACATCATGCCCATGACCAATCACTTGGAGATGTTCAGAATTCCGATGCAATTCCTGTTGAGGAAACGTTCACCTATGCCACTCCTATTTCTGACGGTGATCGCTCGACTGCTTCGCAATTCGCTTCAGTCTTCTATGGCGGCACTCGTAATGCTCATCGTGGTGATCTCTCGTTCCCGTCTTCTGAGCGGTTTAGGGCTGTTTCGCCTTCCCCTCGCCGCGGTGGATATTTTGGTCAACGGTAGGGACACGAAGTTGAGCATGTGATCTTCCTGCTGAAAAAGAGACTTCTCGCCCCTCATTGAGGGGCGTGTGTGTGCGGAGTGACAGAATACCCTGTCACCACCTTGTGCCGGTTTTGGAAGCAGGGGGCCCGCGAGCAACTGGATGGCGCGGGCCAACGAAGACCCATCCAGTTCGCTGTGCAAACGTACCTGCAGACGTGATTCAAGGTCCTTTTGGTCCCTCCCCTGAACCGCTGTTGTTTCTCTGTCTCCCTGTTGAAGTAGCTAGAGTGAAGCCAAGTGAACTGCAAGCCGATACTTGATTTCCTTCACTCCAGTTGTACTCGAGACTCATCAGTTGTACTCGAGACTCATCAGTTGTACTCGAAAGATTGGCACTCTCCATTTGGAGTTTAAGTGTTTGTGTGTTTGCGTGTGTGTGAGTCCTTTTGTTTGTGTGTCTGTGTGTCTGTGGCCCTGCCCTGCCCTACCCTTGCCTGCCTTCCTGCCTGCCCTCCTGCCTGCCTGCCTGCCTGCCTGCCTGGCTGCTTTTTTTTTTGGCGGAGCTTGTGTCGTGCATTCGGCCGGAGAAACATGTCTACCACTCCTCTTCAGATTGAGTCACGCAGTGGAATCTGGGTCTGGGTTTGCCACTTTCTGTGAGCGAAGGAAATTGCCTTCGAACGGATGGACATGTTTCGGAGATGGGAATCCCACGAAAATTTTGTGGTCGTCATTGCTTGGGGTTTCAGGAACTGACCCGTCCTGGCGGGCATTGCGGTATGTGCGTGCGTGTGTGTGTGTGTGTGTGTGTGTGTGTGTGTGTGTGTGCGCGCGCGCGCGTGTGTTGAAGGTACCAACTTTTGGTTGGTTTGCCTGGAAACCATAGGGAATGCCACGCCTATTCCAGGTTGGTTCTTTATCCGGAAACCAAGCAAAAATGGTCACAATGTGTTGGGCCCTGCCCCTCACCCCATTTCGACTTTCACCCGCTGGGTCCGGTTCCATGCGAGGATGACACCCCCAATGCGTCCTATTACGACATCTCCACGGAGGACCTCAAGGAGGCTGAGGGCTATGGCACTATCATGGGCCAGAAGGGCCTTGGCAACTCGGATGTTTGAAACTCGACGTCTTGTTATTGTAGTGATTGATGTGAAACATCACCCTTTGTGGATATGTTGCAATGGGTTTCGCTTCGGTGAAGCGATCTTCAAAGTGACCACGCATCAAATTCTGCACTCGTTCCTCCAGAAAGCGGATGCCGAAGATTCGCGTTTCGGCCAAGCCCTGACGTGAAATCCAAAGACCGCCTCAAGAATTTTAGGGCAAGTTAATTTTGAGGAAACTTCAACCTCCGAATGGTTGACGTTGATGGCCCTCATAAAGCTCGCGCTCGATTGCGGTGCCCTGTTGAAAAGGTCTGGTCTAAACGTCTGGGCAGAAACGTGACAGCCTCGCAAGACTTGAGGGGCTTCGACCTCGCATCAGGAAGGCTCCAAGCTTAGGGGTTTCCTCGTTTGAGGTTTGGACATATCGATACCGACTCGCCTCGTTTTACATGGAGTCGTAGGCCCTGGAGACTTGAAGGTCGATGGTCAATGGGGAAGACACCGTTTCTGCGCCCATCTAGCGGCAGAGGAACACGTCACTGTGGATCGGGCCGTATCTGATCGCTCTTTGTTCTGCAGGGGAGGTTCTTCCAGCGAACATGGGCGGTAAGAGTTGTCAATGCCATAGGTACTTCGGTGATTCTTCTCCCTAGGGCTGCACAAAACACCCCCGTGGTGTTCTGGCACCGCTGGAGCGACAAGATTGGTACCGTCGCGGTTCATTGGAGGTTGGGGACTGCTTGACAAGTTGTTAAGTACAATACTCTCCAAAGTCGTTTGGTTTCATGTTGCATTGATCTTATTCAGGCTGCTTCGGTTGGACGCACTGCCTGCTGAGGCATTTTGGAGAAGACTGCCAATCCTGTCAGCGTCGCAGCACTGACCAAAGTTGCTACTGACAACCTCGGCTTGCGCAAGCAGCCCGCCAATCCCAAGTACAAGATGGCTTTGGCACAGATCTATGTGCGCAGCCAGCCGTACGGCGGATCGGACAAGAGCTGCAACGGGCACCGCTACGACACCATCCCCTTTGCCAATGGCATGATCAGCGCTGGCATGAGCTGCCAGCTCATCCACTATGTCCATCAAGAGCACGACAAGTTCTTCGACGTGTGCAATAATTTTGATGCAATCATCGTGCGGTGCAACCCGGGACAGATCAAGGCGGATGGCGGCGACCAGGCCAAGTTTGATGACGGCATGCGAGGTATGCGCAAGCTGGGCATTCAGGTGTGGCCTTCTCCCGATGTCATGGAGTTCATGGGGGCCAAGGATGCCTTGTGCAAGGTGGCGCACTTGAACATTGGCTTGGAGGACACCTTGGCGTACTACTCGCCCGAGGAGTTTGCCGCTGGCTTCAAGAAGACCATGGCATTCCAGCCGCGAGTGATCAAGCAGAACCGAGGCTCGTCAGGAGAAGGCATTTGGATCATCAAGCTGAAGAAGGGCAACTACTGCAAGACCTACGGCGAGCGGTCGTGCGCAGACGATGAGTTGCTGGACATGATGGAGGCCAACGACAACCATGCCGAGGAGCACACCGTGGCAGAGTTTGTCGAGTTCTGTGTGAACGGCCGCACAGCTAAGTCCGGCACATGGACGTCCAAGGGAGTCGGCAAGTACTTGGAGGGTGGCAAGGCAGCCGGCGGACAGCTTGTGGATCAGCGCTTTTGCCCACGTATCGTTGAGGGCGAGCTGCGCTACAACATGATCAGCGACGCGCTTGCTGGCATTATCCACAAGAAGCCCAAGGAGGGTGGTATCTCCGCAGTGGGTGGCACTGGCTCGATCTACACCTTCTATGGTCCTGAAGAGCCGAAGTTTAAGACCCTGACGGAGAATTTCCTGAAGAGGGACTTGGAGCACGTCATGCCTTCCTTGGGCTTGTCCGAGGAGCCCGTTCCACTCTGGTGGACCACGGACTTCATCCTTGCCTCGCCCGTGGGTACCCCGGCAGACCAGGAGAAGTGGATCGTGGGTGAGTTCAACTGCTCCTGCGTCGGCATCTCCAAGTGCCTGGCAGCCTACTGCAAGGACACAGCCTGAAAAGCATCGTTGCGTCTTGTGGCAATGGGGGGGGGTTCAGAAAGTATGAGTAGACTACCCCATTGTCCCCCTTGGAAGAGCAGATGCATGGAGCTTGGGGGGTGACTCCGCTTGCCGCTTAACATGGTTGGATACGTGCATGACCGGAACAGTCTGTGAACCATGCTGAATGGAAGATACCCAAAAAGAGTTTACGGATGGTGTTCCATGGCGCATTCGTTCGGTGGCCTCAGGACGACACCCCCAACGCCTGCTTCACCGACATCGCGGCGGAGGACTTGAAGGAGGCGGAGAGGTACGGGGACCTCATGGGCGTCAAGGCACTTGCCATCCTGGACAAGGCCCAAATTGGGGCGATACGGGGCGAGGCATTCGGCGTGGCGGCGGTTTTGCCCGCACCAATTTGGGGGGCTCGGAGGAAGACGGGGTAGACCAACGAACATGTGGGCGTGTGAGCCTAGAATTTCTTTGCCGAAAGATGCCCAGGTGAATGCACCAAGTCCACAGAACCCCAAGCCGGGTGAAGGGAATTCAAATCGCCAGCGCAAATTCTTCGCTCCGGTCTTCTGGATCCGAAGCGCTCCTTTGGAACTCTGTGGAACCCAAAGGTCACTTTGTGCCCATAGGTGTCCTGTTTGGTGGTTTTGGTAAAAAATAGATGGCCCTGGTTTGCCTGGTGGTTTAATCATCTACCAGGGCCATCTATTTCCCGTGAAAGGACACCTATGCTTGTGCCAGCTGCAAACATCCTGCGCAAGAGAACAAGAGAAACCCGACGATTTATATACCCTCCCATTGACGTGGAAACTGACAGGGGGGTCCTGCAAGACCATTGTCCTTTGAAAGGGTTCCGTGCGTTGTGGGCGTCACACGACGGAACGGTCTGCTTCGCTCAGGCGAAGAAGTGAGGCTTCATGAGGCTGGGAAGCCAAAATCGGGGTCAAGCAAGGGCCAAGTCGCTGAGTTTGACAGTCTTGGGAAGCAGAGCACCTATTGCTGGTTTTCGTGTTTATCCCTTTCGAGCCCCGAAATTTCCATATCCCAAAACCGGCACCCAAAACCCTTCTTGGCCAGTGAGGGTTCCACTGCTTGGTTAACTTATACTGCGTAAATCTGAGAACCTTTAACCATATTTATAGAACCAAGCTTCACAGGGCTTTTGGCGTTCATTTGGAGACCCGCCCATTTGACCTTTGTGACCGCAGGACTGAGGACGTGCACGGCGCGGTTAATGAGTGACAACTTACGAGCTCGAAAATTAGGGTCGGAGGCTCGGAAGTTTTTCGGCGCGCCGTTCACTTCAGGATCAGATTTTGTTCGGTGGCCAATCTGTGTAGAGGGGACATACAAGGAACCCTGGCGCTTGTTAGGCCAGCCCTTGCCTGCTATTTGTTCAATGGACTCAAAAAATAGTTGCGCAGAGATGGTCCTTGTAACATGGGGTTTGGGGGCTTACAAACACAGAACATGAAGCTCCTTAGATTCCCCCTGTTGCCCGGTGGCGCCTCTTGATAACTCGCAAGCTGACCACCAACAAGGATGCCCTTTTTCCCATGGCCGGACTTAGACGAGTTTGTTTCTGGAGCGCCGCAAACTTCACGCAGCTCCGCTGATCTCTCGACTCAGCAAATCTCAGCAAGCGTGGCCAAACTTTTCAAAGAGGACGCCGGACGGAAATGCGGGGGGCGTTTTTGCCAGATTCTCACACTCCCCGCAACTCCCTCGCTTTCTAAGACTCATTGCCTTTCTAATTATATCTCCGCCAGTTTGGCGTGTTTGGGCCTATCACGGGGTCCAAAAGCGCCCGACCTCCAATGGTGGTAGACAACAAAGCCTTTCTGTTTCTGCGAGGGGCGCCGAGCGTCCTTGTCCTTGGCCATTTCTCTTGTTGGGCTCGGACGCTCCGAAGGGTCAGCGGTCCGTGTACTTTAAGAAACTTGCCGATCCCTTGCGTCGTTTTTCAACGGCGTCAGCGGCCTTGGAGCTTGACATGGAGCAAGTGACTAGGTGGCGACTGCATTCATGTCAGTGAGCCCTTTGTAGCCCTTGCGAGAACATACTACGTTGGACATGGGATTGCCAGACTGGCAATTAAAGCCGGTAAGAATGAGGGTGTCACGTTTGGACGAATGACTCGTGAGCTGTAGGGCTCGGCCCGCCCAAGATTTCCCATGTCTCTTGGGAACGAATCGATTATTATCCGTTGTGTCCAACATGTTGTTTGTTCGTCCTGGGAAGGACACTCATTTGGCTCAGTTCTGTGAGCTCCCAGAAAGGTTTTTCGGGGTCTGAAAACATCCGTTGGGATTCAACATCCATTTTGAGCGACCCCTTCCATTTGCTCAAAACCGTACCGTGAGGCTGCTTGTGATGGCAACGGAGAGTAGTGTGAGCCCAGGGACGGCTCCAGTTTGGTTTCTTTTTCGCATCCAAGGGTGCCTTGGTGGCGCCCTTCCAGTGGAGTTCCCTTTCTAACTTCTTGGGTTTCTGTTTGTCCAGCGGCCAACGCGACGACGCAAAGGGCCGGGCAGCCGGGGCCACTTCCGCGGGCCTGTCCGATAGATTTCATGGCCAGATACCTGGCGAGCGATAGATGCCAGCGCGAGAAAGAAGCTGGGGATGGGGATGGAGTCGGGTTCTAATGTTGAGCCCAAATGAATAAACTCTTCTTTTTTTCAAGTAGGGGGGCGTTCCTAGTTCCCCTCCAAAAGTGATTCCCCACTAAACCTGGGGGTTCCCCCCCCTATGAATACGCAGGGGTTGATGAATCTGGAGTCAACATGACCCTTTTGCCCCAGGGAAGGGAAACGGCTGAAACGCGGAGCGTGGAAAGCGGGTGTGTGCAACAGCCAGCTGAGCCTCAACCGTTGTTCGCCTGTCATAGGGTGCAATTTCCAAATTGGCAGGGCATGGTGGACGCTCGGATGGAGCTCTTTGGTGAACGACCCCCACCTTCGACTTTGCTCACTACCAAATAGTCGAACGTTTTTGCAGAGGTTGGAAAGCCCTAGTTCCCTACTTTCTTTTCTTTGCAAGCGTCGGACAGTAGCCTTTGGACTGGACCGATACATCTCACATGTTGGCTGGCAAATTGAAACAAATGATAATTTCAAGTTGCATGCTACAACAGAGCCTAACTGCAAACCTCTGTTCAATGAAGGTTGCTTTCCTGGGCTTTGTGCGTGGTAGCTGAATTTCGCAACAGACTGCAATAATCCTGTCTTGCCGTGCCTCGCAGATTCCAGTCAGTTCCATTACGAGAAGCTTCCGGCTTTGCCATGGCGTTTCCATCGGCTGGCCCCGTGGATGTTTCCGTGATAAAGCGAGTGGCCAAGGATGACCTGGGGCTCAACGTGCAGCCCAAGGCCGGCACCGGTGCTGGTCAAAGGGTGGGGCAAAACTGGGGCCCATGTGACAGACCAAGCTCAACCAACAATGTTGGCCCCAGATGAATGAACCCACACGGATGTGTCGGGAGGCTACCCTGAGTGGAGGATGTCCTTTCAATTGGGTTGCACTCTCTCTATCCATCAACCACGGGCTGAAGCATCTGGCCCGTTTTCACGAGCGGGTTGCCATGTGGCCGGTGTTGTCAGAAGGGGCAGCTTGCCAGAGCTTGAGCCGGATTGATCACCCCCCAAGTTATATTAAACAAAAAATCGGGTATCCTTTTTTTTTCCCGGGTTTCCTTTCATGCCCCCAGTCACTAGCCACCATTTGAAGGCCCCGCATGGGTTCTTTCTTCGTCGCCTGCCGAAATCGACGCGAAAAGGAGAATCAGCACACAGTTCCCTATGTTGTTTTCTGTGCTTTACCGTGTTTGATTTTGTGCACAAGGAACCGCTCGGCACCTGTTTCTTTTGGGTGGTGCTTTTGCTTGACCATACTGGACCATACTCGTTTCCGTTTTCGCTTTGTACTCCACAACCATGCCAGGTTGCGGGGGAGGTTGTTGTCAAGCCCAGTTGACCCCGAGTGCGTTCCGTTGCGACTAGACCTCTTTGGGGAAATTGGCGTCCTTCGTGTTCCGCAGTTCTGCTTTGCCGATTCCCGACATGTTTTCGAGAACCTTGGCCTTGTGGCGGGAGCATAGCGGTCGAATCCCCAAACAGGTTGCCCCTACGGAGACTCAGGTTTCAGCTCGCGCGGGCAATTAGCACTGACAACTCTTGGCCGATTTCGAGAGGGTTAACCGTGGGATGGGTGTCCCGAGAGGCCAAACAAATCCTCCCTGGGATCGATTCACCAAGTTGCAAATGTGCCTGGTATGTATGGGAAGGTGGTGTGGTGGTGCCAATAAAGTTGATTCAACATGGTTCAGGTTGCCTGGAGTCCACTCAATTCACCCCAAACCCACTGCTCCGTTGCAGGTCCCGACATTCTGCACCGCGTTAGCACAAATATACGTCCGCAGCCAGCCCTATGGAGGGTCAGACAAGAGCAACAACGGCCATCGCTACGACTCCATCCCCTTTGCCAACGGCATGATCAGCTCCGGCATGAGCTGCCAGCTGATCCACTACACCCATGAGGAAGAAGTTGTTTTGCTCGGACAGAAAGGCAAACCAGTCTGCTATGTGCGTTTGTGTGTCTGCGTGAGTCTTTGTGTGTCCCTGTGCGTCCCTGTGCGTCTCTATGTTGTGCGTTTGTGTGTTGTGTTGTGTTGTGTTGTGTTGTGTTGTGTTGTGTTGTGTTGTGTTGTGTTGTGTTGTGTGTTGTGTGTTGTGTGTTGTGTGTTGTGTGTTGTGTGTTGTGTCTTGTGTCTTGTGTGTTGTTGTGCGTTGTTGTGTTGTGTTGTGTTGTGTTGTGTTGTGTTGTGTTGTGTTGGGTTGGGTTGGGTTGGGTTGGGTTGGGTTGGGTTGGGTTGGGTTGGGTTGGGTTGTGTTGTGTTGTGTGTTCTGTGCTGTGTGTTCTGTGTTGTGTGTTCTGTGTTGTGTGTTCTGTGTTGTGTTGTGTTGTGTTGTGTTGTGTTGTGTTGTGTTGTGTTGTGTTGTGTTGTGTTGTGTTGTGTTGTGTTGTGTTTTGTGTTGGGTTGTGTTGTGTTGTGTTGTGTTGTGTGTTGTGTTGTGTTGTGTCGTGGCGTGTTGTGTTGTGTCGTGTCGTTGTTGTGTTGTGTTGTGCTGTGTTGTGTTGTGGCGCGTCGTGTCGTGTTGGTGTGTGTGTGTGTGTGTGTGTGTGTGTGTGTGTGTGTGTGTGTGTGTGTGTGTGTGTGTGTGTGTGTGTGTGTGTGTGTGTGTGTGTGTGTGTGCATGAAGCAAGCACATTCATTCCCGTCCGTGTCCAAATGCTCAGGCGTTGTTTGATGTTCAACACGCAATGAGCAGGTCATCAATTCTGGTCCGCCAGTGTCGGAAATGCGGTTCTTTCTTGATCCCAAAGCCTGAGGAGCACGACAAGTTCTTTGAGGTGTGCAAGAGCTTCCATGCCATCATCGTTCGTTGCAACCCGGGACAGATCAAGGCGGATGGCGGCGACCAGGCGAAGTTCGACAACGGCATGCGGGCCATGCGCAAGCTGGGCATTCAGGTGTGGCCTTCTCCTGATGTCATGGAGTTCATGGGAGCAAAGGATGCCTTGTGCAAGGTGGCACACTTGAACATTGGCTTGGAGGACACCTTGGCGTACTACTCGTCCGAGGAGTTTGCCGCCGGCTTCAAGAAGACCATGGCATTTCAGCCGCGAGTGATCAAGCAGAACCGAGGCTCGTCAGGAGAAGGCATTTGGATCGTCAAGTTGAAGAGCGGCAACTACTGCAAGTCTTATGGTGAGCGGTCTTGCTCAGACGATGAGGTGCTGGACATGATGGAGGCCAACGACAACCATGCCGAGGAGCACACTGTGGCAGAGTTTGTCGAATTTTGTGTGAGAGGCCGCACTGATAAGTCAGGCACATGGACGTCCAAGGGGGTCGGCAAGTACTTGGAAGGTGGCAAGGCTGCCGGTGGACAGCTTGTGGATCAGCGCTTTTGCCCACGTATCGTTGAGGGCGAGCTGCGCTACAACATGGTGGTGGACACTTTGGTTGGCATCATCCACAAGAAGCCCAAGGAGGGTGGCATCTCGGCAGTAGGCGGCACTGGCTCGATCTACACCTTCTACGGCCCGGAGGAGACCAAGTTTCAGTCCCTTACAGACAATTTCCTGAAGAGGGACTTGCCGCATGTGATGCCTTCTCTGGGATTGGCTGACGAGCCCGTTCCACTGTGGTGGACCACCGACTTCATCCTCGCCTCGCCCGAGGGAACTCCGGCAGACCAGGAGAAGTGGATCGTGGGTGAGTTCAACTGCTCATGCGTCGGCATCTCCAAGTGCCTGCCGGCCTACTGCAAGGACCGAGACGTGTTTGCTTAAAAGCTTTTTTGTTGCCTTGTCGCATAGTGAGGGGTGCGACTTGTATTTCACAGATTCCATATTCAGACCTCGAGTCGTGCATATGAGCAACACACGCACACTCACACGAGTACCAGGTTATCGTTTTGTTGGTGGTTTTTGTACCGTTCTTGCAGGTTGCCGGGTATTGGCGTTTGGTGGTTCACTGTCAGTTTGAGTGGTAATATTGTCAGCCAGGTGCTCACATGGAGTGCTTCGATTGGGCACTGCAACGTTGACCCTGGCAGCTACTAACAATCTCGCTTGCCCAAAGAGAATCGAGCTTTTGACCTTTTGAACTTGATTTGGGTATTTGAGTAAAGGATGCAGCTGTGTATTTGTTGGGCTGCCTTTTTCAACGCGTTTTGAATGAACACCAAAAGACCGCCAGTTCTGGGGTCCCCAGTTGTTGCACACACCCATGTGTTGTTTCTAAGGGTGCGGGTAACGACCAACAATTTTGCAGTTCCTTGTGGTTCCGTCTTAGAGGTTCTGTTGGGGATTTTGCCGCTGGTTGGCGCTGGTCGGCCGGCGCGCAAGCTTTGCCTTTCGACATTCCGTGAAGGAAGATAGAAAGGTTCTCTTTTTGAGGGGAGCCTTTGATATGACTCCCTATCCCATGCCGTGAATGGTTGTTTGGAGGGGACCCATCACCCACTCCCTTGCATAAATCAAAATCCCTCCACGCCCATCCACATGTTCCGGGGCTCCTTTTGTTTTCAGCTCAAAAGGGAAGGTTGACCCCTGCCGAATCAGTCCCCTCCCACCGTTACAACCCACTGGGACCTGTCCTTCTTCAGTTTGCATACCTTTCTTCCGGGAACACCGAATGGGACCCGGATCAGCTTGCTGGGTTTTGGGGATGCAGGAGCAATGTTACAGCAGGACTTCCGCAAACATCGTTTGGGTCCCGCTCCCATGGGCTTGGGGCTTTCTGGCTTCCAGGACGATACGCCCAGCGCCTGCTTCACGGACATCCCGGCAGAGGACTTGAAAGAAGCCCAGCTCTACGGGGATCTCATGGGCAAAAAGGCCCGGGAATTGCGCGCGCTCGACGCGCCCAGGTCGTCACGCCGGGATCCGGATCCGGATCGGTGTTCCCAGGTCTCTAGGTGATGATTGGCCGGGCAAGCGGGTGTTCCTGTGGTCCTGTTTTTGTGCCTTCGAGTGTTATATATATATATATACATATTGTGTACATGCCTGTGGGGGGGGGGTTCATGAGGGTCTTTGCTTTTTGGGGGTGGGTTTCGAGCCAATGCAAAGCAAACCGCCATGTTTTTGTTGGGGGGGCTGTTTTGACAAATAACTACATGGGCATGTCGACCCGGCCTTCCGGGCTTGCAGGCGTTGACGATCCTCAGCAAGGCCGCCCAGGGCCCCGTGGACGTGTCGCCGCTCACCCAGGCCCTGCAGACAAGTTGTAGCAACCTCACCTTAAAGGGGTGTGTGTGTGTGTGTGTGACCTCCCGCAGGATGAATGTGCCTTTCTTGCTTGGAGTCCAGGATTTTAGACCAGGACGAAAACACTCCTGCTCTGTTGGTCGTTCAGAGTTTGTCTCGTGAAACACAGAAAGTGGTTGGAAGGCAGGGATGAGCAAACGGTTGGGGAGCGGGAACAGAAAAGCAGGCAGCCGAGCGAATCAAGATCATCCCCACCTCTCTCATGGGACAAATGCCTTCAAGCGAGACGCAGCCTTTGAGAAGCCGTGTAACGCCACATCCTTTTCTCGCCCGTGTTCCTCCTGCAAAAATACCAACACATGTGTTGTCATAGGCATTTGTTTAGAAGAGGCTATTCTGGAGTTGGCTTATTTCTACTGTTGATTTTGTTTATGAACCATGTTGGCCCCTCTTTCTATGGCCCAGGTGTCTGCAGCCCGATCAAGGTCAAACAAGTGGCACATGCCTTTTCCGGCCATTGTTTTTCTCCTTGGGCAAACAAAGGACCCTCAAGGAGCAGAGCATGTCTCCAAAGTGGGGGGGGGGGGGGGGGCAGCAGTACAGGATCGAAGTGAACATTGCCCTCCGTTGCCTCGAGGTTCAGGTCCTAAGGTTTAAAATATGAAGCCTATTTACAAATGCCATTTTGTTCCGACCCCTAATCCCAAAGCCATTGTTGCGCCGACACCAACTTCAGCTGCATGGGGGGGGGGGGTTCTCCAAGTCAATGTTAATCACACTTCGACTGAATTTCGACAAGTCCAACAAAATGCCTTGAGCGATTCCAGCTTATTTATGCACTCTGCCTGGCAAATGGGGGGACTGCATTTGGACCAGGATTGGAGCGGCAACATGCTAATAGGTTTTGATATGATCTATTCCTGTCCCAGGAAAATATGCTCATTAGGAGGGGACATGATTCATGATTAGGAGAGGTGCTGACTTTCCTTGCCCTTTGATTGAGACCTTCTTGTATGGCACCCCATTTGTTCGGCACCCTGTTCCCTTTCTGGGTGGTCTCCCGCTAAAGTAGTCACTAGGGGTCCCCTTAACTGGGGCCACTGGACTGGGGCGACATGATCGATGTGATCAGTCCGTAGATGTCCCTACACCGCCTGGGCCACGTGTTTGCGTTTCCTCGGTGCGGGAGTTTCGAATCAAGGAAAGGGAACGGAGCCCCGAAAAATCAGGGCCTATTTAGAGACATCTACTTAGAGAACCACTATAGAAGAGGTCGATTAATATTCCTGGCCCCCGAATGAAGGTAACGTGTTCTTATTTCGTGGTTGAAATCTCAAATCTGTTTTTGGTGGTTTTCCAACCATGGTCCCATGCAAAAGGCAAGATGCTTTGATCACCCCAGTGTTTTTGAGTCAACGCCCCATGGTTGTGAGACCAAAGCTGATCAACCCCCACCTACATGACCCATCACTTTGAAACCATGGTTGAAACCATTGTTGGCGGGCTTTTAGAGGGGGAACACCCTGCATCCGACTATGAGCCCATCCGCCTTTCCATTTTCCAGGGCAAGCCAGTTGGAGTACCTATTGACAACCCCCAATCATTGTTGGTTTTTAGAGGGAAACAAGTGAAAGAGAAGCATGGGCCAAAAGAGGTTTGTTCCCTCCATGGTGTTCTTCTCCACATGGAATTTTGGAGGGGGAACATTTTCCCCCATGTAGAGAAAGGTCCTTTGCTTGGGGATCCATGTTGTTTTTGTTGGCGTGAGGGAGCAGCACTGCAGGTGGCGAAGGACACCCTGGGCCTGCGGCCGCAGCCCTCGAAGCCCCTCTACAAGATGGCCCTGGCGCAGCGCCTCGGCTTCACCTCGGCGGAAGTTGGCGGAAGTCGGTGTCCGGGGAGAGAGGGTCGTGTTTTCGTACAACTCCCAAAAACCCCTGACCTTCCTTTTTTTGGGGTTCATGGCTCTTGGATCAAGCGTGCTGATGGTTCTTTTCCCATTTGTCTGTTCTTTTTAGGGGGTGATGAATACTTCGCACGGCCATTTGAGGGGGATTTGGCCACTTTGGTCAGGCTTTGGTGTCAGATCATCAACTACCCTTTTGGGTGTTCCTGCTTTCAGACTCCTAGGATTTATGTACGCAGCCAACCCTATGGCGGCTCGGACAAGAGCTCCAACGGGCACCGCTACGACTCCATCCCATTTGCCAACGGCATGATCAGCGCTGGCATGAGCTGCCAACTCGTGCACTACACGCACGAGGAGGGGAGTTCATGCTGTTTTCGCGGTCGCAAGCGAGATGTCCAGAGATGGTTCTCATCGCCAAAGGGATTTGTAAGAGAAGTCGGCCTCCAGTGGTACTCCTTTGTTTCCTTGAAACAAATGTGATGATCTCACGATCACCTCCAGAGAGGCGTAACATTGAATTCCGGACACGACATGTCAACACGAAGTTGCGGGCGCCCAATTTGTTCAATTTCATCCTGCATGAATCGAACACCGGCATCCATCAGTCGCTGCTTTGTCAGCCCAAACGGCCTTTGAAAAGGGGCCGGCAAACATGTGTGCGGGAGTTTCCCTTGAACCTGCACTTGTGTGCATGTGTTGCTTTGGGGAGCATCGACTTAGTGTTCACCATCTACTGAACAATGGTTCTCATTGAGGGTGCATGCCCAAAGCAGCAAAAGAGCCAAACATCAGACATATTATGTATCACGCGGGGGAGTGATTACTAAAGGCCCCCCTAGTCTCTGAGTAAGTACTGCTTAGTATTGGTGAGGAATTGTTCTGGATTCTAGTATTCCCTTGAGTTGGCCCAATACTGTTTAGAATTGGCTTGCTGTAATATTGATGTAGTCTGCCTTTTTGCTTGTCAAGGCTGGTTCAGAAGTTTTTAGAATTGGTTTAGTAGTTGTTGAGTCTTCCTCAGTTGCCTTCTCTGTTTCCTCCCCCTTCAACAACTACTACTTTCACTTGTCAGGGCGCCTGATTTAGCAGATGGTGTCATCAGGATTTGGCTGTTTGGGGCCCGAGTGTGCTTTGCTGGCTCAGGGTAGGCTTAGTATTGGCAGTATTTTAGTTAGTGGTTGAGTCCGGTTCAGTAATAATAGCTCAGTCAGCATTTATTATACGGAACATTTCGGGGCTTTCCTGTATCACCCCCTTGAAGATATGTCTGGGCTGTTTGAGCAATGGGTGTCATAAAGAATGTGCCTGTTTGGGGCCTCAGTTGGTGTTGCTGGCTCAGGATTGGCTTAGTAAACCAGTCTTTCCTCCCCCTTGATCTTTTCGGGTGGAGAATAATTCTGGAAAAGCGGAAATCTGTCCTGTCTTGCCTCCCGATTTTCTAATCGCTGCCCATTCCACACTTCATGTTCACGTGTTTTGTGTTACTACGCATGGGTTCCCAGGGCCCCTACTCCCTACTCGGGGATTCCTCATTTCCAGGTTCCCCAAAGTGCTATAGTTTGCCCAGAGTCCTAAACCAGCCCAATTCCAACGCTAAACCCTGAAACCAGCCCGACTCTGCAACCCCACCACCCAAGCCCACACCTCAAGACAGCGAAACAGTAGAATTACCGCCAATTACCTGGATGGCGGGTCGTTCACTACCAATATTTGGGGAGTCCACCGTAAGAAAACTGGGATTCGGATCACAACTCATCCCCCTCTCCCCAAGCAACACCCAGTAACGCTGGTAATGCAACATAATGGTATGTACAGTAATGAAATGCAACGTAATGTAAGGGAAGGTAGGGCAATGTAATGTGATGTTGTCATATGATGTGATGTGATGTACTGCAATGTAATGTAGTGCAATGACAATGTGATGATAAGATGGACATGTAATGATAATGTAATGTAAATGTAATGAAATGCAGCGTAGTGTAATACAATGCAAGGCAATTAATATAATGTAACGTATGTATGTATCCATGTAATGTATGCATGCATACGTTGTATTTTATTGTATTGTGGTGTAGTGTAGTGTAATGTAATGTGATGCGATGTGATGTTATGCAATGTAGTATAATGCAATGTATGTAATGTGGTGTGATGTGATGTGATGTGATGTGATGTGATGCAATGCAATGCAATGCAATGTACTGCAATGCAATGCAATGCAATGCAATGCAATGCAATGCAATGCAATGCAATGCAATGCAATGCAATGCAATGCAATGCAATGCAATGCAATGCAATGCAATGCAATGCAATGCAATGCAATGCAATGCAATGCAATGCAATGCAATGCAATGCAATGCAATGCAATGCAATGCAATGCAATGCAATGCAATGCAATGCAATGCAATGCAATGCAATGCAATGCAATGCAATGCAATGCAATGCAATGCAATGCAATGCAATGCAATGCAATGCAATGCAATGCAATGCAATGCAATGCAATGCAATGCAATGCAATGCAATGCAATGCAATGCGCAATGCAATGCAATGCGCAATGCAATGCAATGCGCAATGCAATGCAATGCGCAATGCAATGCAATGCAATGCAATGCAATGCAATGCAATGCAATGCAATGCAATGCAATGCAATGCAATGCAATGCAATGCAATGCAATGCAATGCAATGCAATGCAATGCAATGCAATGCAATGCAATGCAATGCAATGCAATGCAATGCAATGCAATGCAATGCAATGCAATGTACGTGCGTATAGATATATACATACAGCGAGATATGTGCGCATATGAAGCACATGAACACGTCAAGCACATCAATCGACATTTTCCCATCTCAATTATGCATACTGTAGGAGCATGACAAGTTCTTCGAAGTGTGCAAAAGCTTCAATGCCATCATCGTGAGATGCAACCCGGGACAGATCAAGGCGGATGGCGGCGACCAGGGGAAGTTCGACAATGGCATGAGGGTTATGCGCAAGCTGGGCATTCAGGTGTGGCCTTCTCCCGATGTCATGGAGTTCATGGGCGCCAAGGATGCCTTGTGCAAGGTGGCGCACTTGAACATTGGCTTGGAGGACACCTTGGCGTACTACTCGCCTGAGGAGTTTGCCGCTGGCTTCAAGAAGACCATGGCATTCCAGCCGCGAGTGATCAAGCAGAACCGAGGCTCGTCCGGCGAGGGCATTTGGATCATCAAGCTGAAGAAGGGTGACTACTGCAAGTCGTACGGTGATCGCTCATGCGCAGATGATGAGGTGCTGGACATGATGGAGGCCAACGACAACCACTCGGAAGAGCATACGGTCGCCGAGTTCATTGAATTCTGTGCAAGCGGCCGCACGTCTAAGTCCGGCACGTGGACGTCCAAGGGAGTGGGCAAGTACTTGGAGGGCGGCAAGGCTGCTGGTGGCCAGCTTGTGGATCAGCGCTTTTGCCCGCGAATTGTGGAGGGAGAGCTGCGCTACAACATGGTGGTGGACACTTTGGTTGGCATCATCCACAAGAAGCCCAAGGAGGGTGGCATCTCGGCAGTAGGCGGCACTGGCTCGATCTACACCTTCTATGGTCCGGAGGAGACTAAGTTCAAGGCGCTCACAGACAACTTCCTGAAGAGGGACTTGCCCCACGTCATGCCTTCTCTGGGCTTGGGCGACGAACCCATCCCACTGTGGTGGACCACCGACTTCATCCTCGCCTCTCCCGAGGGAACACCGGCAGACCAGGAGAAGTGGATCGTGGGGGAGTTCAACTGCTCCTGCGTGGGCATCTCCAAGTGCCTGGCGGCCTACTGCAAGGACCGAGGTTGCAACTCTGCACCAAGCCGTGTTTGTCGGTTGGAGGGAATTCCCCCAAGCCCTGCTGTCGAGAGCCTGTGTCTCAGTTCTGGCTGCCTCGAGGAACTGGCCAGCTACGCTTGTGCGTCAGGGTCTTCCAAGTACCTTCCCCCCCCCCAGATTGCGTGTTTCGAGGGGTGTCCTTTTGGAGTTGCTTGGAGGCAAAGGAAACTTGGGTGTCCCATTGCGACCCACTTGGAAGGGATCTTCGCTTGCCGAAAGTTTCGGGCCTTGGGAAGGCCAACGGGTGATGGTTGAAGCTTGAAGTTGGGGAGGGCTGATCTAGCACAGCTGAATGTTGGTGACTCTGCGGAGTCAAGGTATAATCTAAAAGGACACCATTCAAGTTCTGAGTCCTGACAATCGTTTCACAAATGCTTGTTTCAGCCATGTGTTTTTACTAGCCATTGGTTACCATTGGTTTTTTAGAATTCCCTTCAGAGCGATGCAAGAATTTCCAGGATGACACGCCTTCCGCCCACTTCTTCGACATCGCGTCGGAGGACCTCAAGGAGGCCCAGGGTTATGGAGACCTCATGGGCCTCAAGGCCAAGGGCATCCTCGACAAGATGCAGGCATCCGACGGCGCCTGAAACAGTCGGGGGGTTTCCCCACGGCAACACCAGCCCAAGGACCCAAGGAAGGGGGCGTCCTTCGGTTTCACCCAACATAAATGGTTTCAATGTCGGTTTCTCTTGAAATTGCCAGGCAAAGGGTGGCCTAAGCAAGATAGACCTTAAAAAGAGGCACTGATTTGGTTAAAATTGGGGAGCGATTTTGCAAGCGTTGGTCTCTGGTGTACCTTCAACTGATAGTCTTCGCAATTTCGAGACAGACCCAGACGTTACATTGGATATTAATAACACACATGTCTCGTTGAAAGATCCATGCGCGTTTTGGGCCTAGGCACCTGAAGGCTGGTTGTGAACGAAAGCCACCATTTTTTGTCCAAGGAACCCTCGTTCCTGCATCATATTGGGCTTTTGTCTACCTTGTGTCCAAGGACAAACTCATGAAAACCAACATGTGCAGTAGTAGTAGTAGTAGTAGTAGTAGTAGTAGTAGTAGTAGTAGTAGTAGTAGTAGTAGTAGTAGTAGACGTAGACGTAGACGTAGACGTAGACGTAGACGTAGACGTAGACGTAGACTTTGGCAGTGCCCACACGCGCAGCATCAAACTCGCGGGGGTCAAGTGCCATCACGCGACCACTCCTGCAACCGTACCTGGCGTCGAGACAACTGGCACGGACAGACGACAGGTGCAGAAGCACCTGAGTTGGGCCTTGCCGAACGAGGCACCCTAACCTAGCCTCGAGCTCATCCCTGGGCCTTTCAGGTCTCCGCCCAAAGCTTTGACATTCCCAAGCCACGTGCTCGAAGTGAGCGCCAAACTCAGAGCAAATCAGGATTATCATACATGTATATAATAGGTGTGCAACGAACAAAAATGACTGTGCTGAACTTACAGTAGGAGGCATATTAGGTGTTCGATTATAGTAATCTTGTCCGAAGCAGACCGTAGTCACATTTTTGGGGACTTCGGAAAGACCACGAGCTTGAGAAGTCCCGTGTCAAACTACCTCATGCGCACAAATCCATGGATTCCCTGTCAAAAGGTGATTCCTTCCAGAACATCTAG